TTTTCTTTTCACTGCGAAAAACAGTTCATCATCATCATCACAGTGCAAGCCCAGGCACACACACACAGTGAGTGTCCAATAAAACACACAATACTCCATGGCTCTAGTTTATGTATTAAATCACTGCACACACACATCTGTGTACTAGCAAGGAATATATACCGTCAGTGAGCAGAACAGCCCAGTTTTCTGCAAACACATACAACGGGAAAAGCAAGTAATGGAATTATTAGAAGAATGAACACACACACATAGAAGTAAAAGAAAAGATATTCGAATTAAAAGATAAAGCTTGTAAACAGATTATTAATTTCATTCACCCATGGGGATGTACGCAATTATGATAATGACAGTTTAACCATTATTATTATTTGACCTCAGATGAGTCCCACCGTTCAGTACACGGTAACGGAGAACAACACAGCCATAATCAGTAGCGGTGCTGCAGTGCGCATCCACACAGGACCGACACTGCTGTCAACATTAGCCTTCGTCTGTACGGTGGAGGCAATAGTGCTGATCTCTGCGTTTGGTACTGGAGATGGAGTTGTGGTTGATTCTTCACTGACAGTGCTCTCGGGGCTCGGCAGAGTAGTGGAATTGGTTTCTGGTGAGTTTGGTACTGTAGCTACATCATCAGTTGCAGTAGATTGCGTGGTAAGATTAGAGTCACGAGATTGAGTGGTAGTTGGTGCTTCTGTGGTAGTGTTCTCGGTGATCGGCGGAGTAGTAGTATTTGCCTCTTCTGAGCCTGATATTGCAGTCGTACCTGGAGTTGCGGTAGAATGGTCAACGGAATTACCATCAATTGGTGCAGCACTCTCCGCTGTTGGAGAAGATGGCTGGTTAGGTTTCTGTTCACCGGTTTCAGTTTCATCAGATGTGTTGCTCGGTGTTCCATGATCACCATGTGGTGCTGCATCACCTTTTGTGGGTGGACTAGATCCCTGAGTTTGTCTTCGTGTTGTTGAGGTGCTTTCTGCATTCCGTCCTGCACCGTTATGAGCACTGACAGGACCTTCTGGTGCAACCTCTTGCTGTGGACTTACGGACCCTTTTACTTCTTGGGCGGAGAGAAGAACGTCAGCTTGTTTTTTTTCTTTATCCTTATCCTTCTCCTGATTTTGTCCTCTTTGTAAAGATGTTTCTTTATTTGTAGAGAGTGTTGGTTCTCCTGCACCACCACCATCCTGTGCCAGTGTAACCGTTCTTTGGTGCTCATCCGAATTGTGTGTTGCAGGCTCAACGCGTTTTTTACACGTTGGAGATCCCTTATCAGGAGAGTCTGAGGGAGATTTAAGAGCGTCTTCACCAAAGAGAGTTGTAAAGACATTCTTATTACTTGTATTATGACATGAACTGTTCCAAGTACCTGGAGTGCACTGAGCAGCAGGAGTTGAAGGAGGAGCGGCAGGTGCAGGAACTACAGCAGAACCACCAGGACCATGAGGGCACCCAGGAGTACCATCAAGGCAAATCTTTGTCTCACTCTCCGTATCAGGGACTTGGTCGGAAAGATCGGCGGCAGGCACTTCTTCAGCGAGGACGTGCACACACGCACATGAGAGCAGGAGAGCGAGGATACACAGCACGTAGCGCATCATTACCATTACAATACTTCTTGTAGTAGTCTTACTTCAATCGCTTACAGAAAAAATCAATAATAATAACAGAAAGAAAGTAAATCAATGGAAACAAGAAAATAAGAACACACACCAAATTAAACAACACTCAACAATTACAGCAGAAACACACCACATTACAGAAAGCTGCGATCATGAATCATATAATGCCCAAATTAAAGTAAAAACCCACACGGTACCCAATAACAAACAGATAATCCCAATAAACCCCCAAAAGAAAAAAAAAAGAAATTAAAGAATACAACCATCAGAAGCAGAGAGCACGACAATAAAATCAAAATGCCTCTTCCTGTAGGACCAAGCACAATTACAAATATACTCATGTATTCTTTATTATTTTTTCTCTCTCCACACAAAACACTCCACCACACAACAATGCAGAAAGAATTACACAGCGCCCAAGCAAAGAAAACAAAAAAAAAAAAACACAAAATAAGAGCACAACGAGTCACAGAAAAAAAACTCACAGACCACTAAGTATGCTGGTGTGTTCAAGTAATTACGAATACAAATTGTACTAACTACTATTTTTTTCTTTTGATCTGCATCAAGCAGAATACCAAACCGTGCAGGGCAAAAGCACACAATGAAGCAGCAAACCACAAGCAAATAAAAAAATATTATTAATTAGCCCAATTTACACAGTAAACACACAGAAATACACCAACTATGGGTGTAAGTCTATATATGTGTATATATGCAATTATAAATATAAATTCATCTGTTATTATTATTTCTTTTCTTTTCACTGTACAAAAAACAGTTCATCATCATCATTACAGTGCAAGCCCAAGCACACACACACAATACCCCATGGCTCTAGTTTATGTATATTAAATTACTGCACACACACATCTGGGTGTACTAGCAAGAGATGTATACCGTCAGTGAGCAGAACAGCCCAGTTTTCTGAACACACGCAACGGGAAAAGCAAATAATGGAATTAATAGAAAAACGAACACACACACATAAAAGTAAAAAGAAAAGAAAAGATATTCGAATTAAAAGAGAAAGCTGGTAAACAGATTATTAGTTCATTCACCCATGGGGGATGTACGCAATTATGATTATGTTAGTATTACCATTATTATTACCATTATTATTATTCTCCTTCAGATGAGTCCCACCGTTCAGTACACAGTAAAGGAGAACAACACAGCCACAATCAGCAGCGGTGCTGCAGTGCGCATCCACACAGGACCGATACTGCTGCTGTCAACATTAGCCTCCTTCTGTACTGTGGAAGCAATAGTGTTGATCTCTGGCTTGGGTAAAGGAGATGTAGTAGTGGTTGGTGCTTCTGTGGTAGTGTTCTCGGTGCTTGGAGATGGAGTGGTGGTTGGTGCTTCAGTGGTAGTGTTCTCGGAACTCGGCAGAGTAGTGGAAGTGTTTTCTTGTGAGTCTGCGGCAGAACCACTGTTACCTGCATTCGACCCTTCGTTGTTACTTTGTGGCGCTGCAGCAGACTCCTGAGGTGTGCTGTTATTAGCTGGGTTATTTGACGCTTCATCGTTATTTTGTTTAACTGCAATTAACTCTTCTTCTTGTCTTTCTGTTGTCGACATACTTGTTCCTTTTGCGATCTCAGCACTCTCACCATCTTGTGCTCTAGAACCCTCAGGAACATTGGGTTGCAAATCACCAGCGAGTTCATCTTGTGATGCACCCGGTGGCTTTCCTGTTTGTAGGTCATCAGCTTCTGAACTCTGTTGGTGTGCAGGAGCACCTGGTGGGGACTCGGTAACAGATGGTTGCGGTGCTGGTGGTGGACCACTAAGATTCCCATGTGTTTTCCAGTCCGAGCATTTTATTCCAGTACTTGTGTATTCTTTTCTACTCCCATCCCTGCAATCCGCATCATGGCCTGCTGTTGCAAGAAAATCACCCCAACCACCCCAACCAATACTCCGCACATCTTCACGCACATTAGCAGAAGCCGCAGAAGATACAGGAGGATCCGCCATGGTATACCCGCAGGCGCAGCACAGCACAACGGCCAACACACACATCACACGGCGCATCATTATCATCAAGAGAGAGACAATAGTTTGGTTTGCGTAAAAACACTGATCTAGAAAGAAAGACAATCAAAAAGAGCAAAGAATAAAATGAAATGAAGTATCAAACATGTTAGGACACACAAATTGATCACCACAAAAGAAACTCCCATCAAAAAAAATAAAAACATACCAGTTAAAGAGTGCAATAAAGCACAATAACCTCATTAAGAGTAAAAACAAAAACAAAAACGCCCACACTCACAAATATCTCAAAAAAGGCTGAGCCACCCAGCAAAATCATCAAGCAAATAAACAGATATTAAACATTAGCCCAATTTACCCAGTAAACACAGAAATACACACCAACTATGGGTGTAAATCTGTATATGTGTATATATACGCAATTATAAATATAAATTCACCTATTATTATTATTTTTCCCTCTCAATGCAAAAAGCAGTTCATCATCATAGTGCAAGCCCAGGTGCACACACAGAGAGAGTCTCCAAGAACACACACACACAATGGAGTAGCAATAATAATAATTATAGGATAAACACACATAGAGAGCAAAAACACACAACACAGAATAACATTAAGAAACAAAAAAAGAAGATTATTATCCCAACAGGTGGAAGATTAGTTAAACTGTAGGGATGCATGCAAAATAAGAAAAAAGAAAACAAAGGATGACCTGAGTCACACCACACCACCACCACTACAATCAGCATACAAGAATACAGGCCAGTGTAACCACAATCAGTAGTGGTACACGCACCCACACAGAACTGCTGATACTGCTGCTGCTGTCTGCATCACCCNTATTAGTTCATTCACCCATGGGGGATGTACGCAATTATGATTATGTTAGTATTACCATTATTATTACCATTATTATTATTCTCCTTCAGATGAGTCCCACCGTTCAGTACACAGTAAAGGAGAACAACACAGTCACAATCAGTAGTGGTACACGTACCCACACAGAACTGCTGCTGCTGCTGCTGTCTGCATCACCCTTCTTGTTGTTTGTGAGTTCAGGAGGAAGTGTTGTTGTTGTTGTGGTGGTGGTGGTGGTTCTTGTATTTGTATTATCTGCAGAACCTTCTGGGTTACTTGTTGACTCACTCGCTGAAGATGTATTATCATTCTCAGTTGATGTAGGATTAGAACCACCATCACTTGTTGTGGCTGAACTGCTGGAAGAAGGTGTAGTTGGTGATGTTGCATTTTCACTTGCTTCATTGTTTGCATGTTGAGGATTTTCTGAAGGAGCATCACTGTTCCCTGCAGTAGAAGGAGCAGCGGGAGTAGCAGCTTCAGAAGGAGAACTACCACCCCCAGCAGAACCACCAGTACCCGCAGCAGAACCAGCATCAGCTTTATTACCGGGAGCACTATTACTATGGCCATCAGCACCAGGTATAGTATTTTCATCAAGACGGTCGTGCGGATTTTCATCACCAATGTTACCAGGACCCTTACCAGGCCCTTCAGGGAGAGGTGTTTTTTCTTTTATCGTACAGGCATCACGTGAATCGTTACGGCAATTCTCGTTAGTTTCACCCTCATTGTTAGGGCAACTCTTCTTTTCAGAAGATGTCTCACAATCATCAGTACGAGCAACTACATGTTCCCTACCGCTAGTAGAGCACGTAGGATCAGTCTTTCCTTGAGTACAAGCCTTACCACCAGGAGAAACAGATAGAGGTGGCTTTGGACCTGGAGGTGGAGAAGGATGAGAAGAAGGAGGTTGTGGAACTGCAGTAGCAGGACAAGTTTCACCAGAAGGAGTAGTGGAACCATCAGTACCTTTAGTACAAGGACCATCGGCAGGTTCAGAACCCGCCTCAGCTGTCACGCACAAAGAGACAACACTCAACAGCAAAGTGAGAAAACACAACACACGAGACATCATCACGACAGCAAGATTTAGTTTGTTGTTTTAGTCCACTTGAATGCAGAAGAAAGAAGAAGAGATAAAGATAATTAATACAAACACTCAATACATTAGAAACACACACAGAGAGAAACAAAGGAGAGCACAACACAATAATCACTCACACAAAACAACATGAAGCGCAAACGAAAAAATAATTAGTAACACCGAAAAGACAATACTCCAACATCACTCATAGTACAATTAAAGACCAAGCCCAGAGTATCCAGCATTAAACAAAAAAATCCCATATTTCACAAAAAAAAAAATAACAATAAATCAAAAATACGAAAACCCTACGAAGAAAACAAACACACATATAATGGTGTCTTCGCCTTTCAACATATATACAATTACAAACAAATATATACGTATATATTATGACTTTCCCTTTGTACAAACCAGAGACACCTAACAGTGCAGCACAAAGCACAGCGCACACAAGATAACCCAATCGTAAAAACAAAACAAATTAATAACAAGCTCAATTAACCAACTAAAGGAAAGAAATACACCACGTATGAGTATAAACAGTTGTATACCCCATTACGCATGTATATATGCATGTTATTTTTGTTTCAGTTTTTCATTCCAAAAAGGAGACTATCGCATTATACTGGGTAAAGCATACAGTAGCCCAAACACAGAGAATATAGTAGCATATGTAGAATATACAAAATAAAACAACACATTAACATTAAGAAACACAAAAAAGAAGAGAAATTCCAACAGGTGGAAGTTTAGTTAGACTGTAGGGATGCATGCAAAAAAAAGAAAAAGAAAACAAAGGATGACCTGAGTCACACCACCACCACCACCATCACAATCAGCACACAAGAATACAGGCCAGTGTAACCACAATCAGTAGTGGTACACGCACCCACACAGAACTGCTGATACTGCTGCTNATACTGCTGCTGCTGTCTGCATCACCCTTCTTGTTGTTTGTGAGTTCAGGAGGAAGTGTTGTTGTTGTTGTGGTCGTCGTCGTATCTGCATTTCCTCCATCATTTTGGTTACTTGTTGATTCACTCTCTGCAGATGAAGTGCCGTTCTCAGGTGTTGCAGCATCAGAACCAACATCACTCACTGTGGCCGAAGTGTTTGAAGAAGAAGAAGGTTGTGATGTTTCATCTCCCTGTTTAGATCCACCTTCTTCGGTTGCACTGACCACATTGCTTTCAGTTTGACCGTCAGCGGTAGGAGCACCGCCAGTACCCGCAGCAGGAGAAGAAGCACCACCTTGTGAACCGTTTCTACTTTGAGTATCCCGAATTTCTGGTTCACCAGGAGTAACAACAGCAACAGTTGGGTGAGCACGATCCTCTTGTCTTTCATCAGTATTAGGTCCCTTGTCAGTTACAGGACGACTTGCAATTGTAGGACCTTGATGTTCGCTACGACTAGTTACACGATTTTCATTTGAGTTAGCAAGAGCCTTTTCTTGTGGTTCGTTTTTACAACCAGTCTTACCAGAAGGGCAATTATCTTGCGTGACATCATTGGTAGGACAACTATCCTTGAGAGAAGAAGAGTCCACACAATCAACAGCAGTAGCAGCTTCAGGTACACTACCGCCAGAAGTACACGGAGGATCAGTCCTGTCTGGAGTACAACCTTCAACACCACCTCTAGGTTGCCCTGCAAGAACACCAGAAGGACCACCAGGAGCAGAAGCAGACCTTCCATGTTCACCAACGGGTCGAGCAGCACCAGCAGGACAATCACTACCACTACTACCATCTCCGCAACTGTTATCAGCGTGTCCAGATGCAGCAGAAGGACGAGCAGCACAACCACTAACACTATCTTCACCGTCTTGGCAAGGGGAATCAGCCTCAGGTTCAGGTTGAGTCTCTGGAGCGGCCATACAGAGACACTCAACACACAAAAGCAAAGCGAGAAAAAACAATAAACGGCGCACCATCACTGTTATAATAATTAGAAATACTCTCTGAGTTCACTTTTCTACAGAAATAAAGAGAGAGAGAAAAAGTCAAAACAAAAACAAATAATAATTTAAAAAAAAGATAATCAATGACAAATCCAGAAAAATCACGTGGAAGGAATCTAATAAAAGCAAAATAACAAATATTACCCAGTACTACTAAGAAAATTCCAATCAATAAAAGAGAAACGAAAAATCCAACAGCACAATGAACAGAACCAAAAAGCACACAAATACTTAGCTCTCGAATTCGTTGGCCAGCGTACATAAAATTATAAATAAAAATGTATATGAGTTACTGTTCTTTTTTCCTATGCATGAAGCAGAACAACAAAACAGTTAAGGACAAAACGCCCAACTGTGTAAAAAACACAAGAAAACAAACAGATTTTAACAATTGATACCAACTTTCACAGTAAACACAGAAATACACCAACTATGGGTGTAAGTCTATATGTGTATATACGCAATTATAAATATAAATTCATCTGTTATTATGATTTCCTTTTTCCCACTGCAAAAAGCAGTTCATTATATTCATCATCATCATAATGCAAGACCAATCACAGAGTCTCCAAGAACGTACACACACACAATGGAGTAGTAGCAATAATAATAATTATAGGATAAACACAGAGAGCAAAAACACACAAAACACACATTAACATTGAGAAACAAAAAAAGAAGAGAAATTCCCGACAGGTGAAAGATTAGTTAGACTGTAGGGATTGCATGCAAAAAAAGAAAAAAAAGAAAACAAAGGATAACCTGAGTCACACCACACCACCACCACTACAATCAGCACACAAGAATACAGGCCAGTGTAACCACAATCAGTAGTGGTACACGCACCCACACAGAACTGATGATACTGCTGCTGCTGTCTGCATCACCCTTCTTGTTGTTTGCAAGTTCAGGAGGAAGTGTTGTTGTGGTAGTTGATTCTGTATTTCCTGCTCCTTCTTCATTTTGGTTCCTTATTGATTCACTCTCTGCAGATGAAGTGGCAGCGTTACTCACATCGTTTGCAGCATCTGAACCCACAGTATTGTCCGCAGTTGAACTGTTAAAAGGAGTATCACCTGTATTTGGGGGTGTGGCTGCTGAAGGTTCTTCTGAGTGCAAAACTTCAGTTGGTTTCCTTGTAGTATGTGTAGTACTGCTTGCATTACTTTGAGAATCATTTTTCTCAGCGTCTCCTTTATCACCATCTGAAGGACCATCTTTGGCATTGGCAGCATCCTTTATATTTGCATCTGGTCCCTCACTGTTTTTTTGTGATTGACCACCTCCCTGATTTGGCGTGCCGAGATTCGTTTTTGTACCGCTGCTGACACTTCCCTCAGGGTTATGGTCATTTAAACTATTTTGGCCCTGCTGTACTCTTTGCACTTGTGCATCCTGAACACCACCACTAGAAGAACTGGATGAAGAAGAACCTTGAGCCTCAACACCTGGTTGACCTATGGGACCAGCAGGACCAGGAAGAGAAGGAGCAGCTTCTGTTGTTCTTTTAGGGCAGCGAGAATCAGGAGAATCACGTAATTCAGAAGTGCAGTCATCAGCATTAACTTCAGGACCGCCAGGTTGAACTTCTTGTGATGTTTGAGAAGCCACAGATACGCAAGCAACACTCAGAAGCAAAGCCATAAAATAAAACAGTCGGCCCATCAGCAACATGGAAAACGTTACTTGTAGTGTTCAATGCAACCAAACTTCAGAAAAAAGAAAACAAGATAAAGAGAAGAAAAAAAAGAATAAAGTACAAACACACACAAAAAGAAGGAACAACGGAGAAAAAGAAAAAACAATATCACATAAAAAACACAAGACAAGGTAACGAGCAGAAACACAAAAGAGCCCAATAAAGCTGCAGAACAAAAAAAGTTAAAACGAAAACAAAAAACAAACAAATTAATAACACACCCAAAGGAGCCAGCAAACATAAAACAAGAACACTAATCTATTGTCAGGATAGAGTAAAAATGCAATTATAAATGTATTTGTGAATCTGTTATTATTCTTTCACTCCTTAAAAAGAAAAACACAAAAACAGTTCAGGACAAAACACACAACGCCCATCAAACAAAATGGAAACAAAACAAAGAAACAGAAAGTTTCAATTAGCCCCACTTACCCAAAAAACACAGAAATCTACACTAACTATGGGTGTAAGTCTATATATGTGTATGTATATACGCAATTATAAATATAAATTCATCTGTTATTATTATTATTTATTTTTTCCCACTGCAAAAAACAGTTCATCATCATTACAGTGCAAGCCCAGAGGCACACACACAGAGAGAGTCTCCAAGAACACACACACACACACACAATGGAGTAGCAATAATAATTATTATAGGAAAAACACAGAGAGAGCAAAAACACACAAAAACATTAACATTAAGAAACAAAAAAGAAGAATAGCCCAACAGGTGGAAGATTAGTTAGACTGTAGGGATTGCATGCAAAAAAAGAAAACAAAGTATGACCTCAGTCACACCACCACCACCACCACTACCACAATTAGCATACAAGAATACAGGCCAGTGTAACCACAATCAGTAGTGGTACACGCACCCACACAGAACTGCTGATACTGCTGCTGCTGTCTGCATCACCCTTCTTGTTGTTTGTGGATTCAGGAGGAAGTGTTGTTGTTGTTGTTGTGGTGGTGGTTGTATCTCTGTCTGCAGTTTCCACCCCTTGTTGGTTGTTTAATGATTCACTCTGTGCAGATGAAGTGCCATTCTCAGGTGTTGCAGCATCAGAACCCCTTTCACTCTCTTTGTCTGAATTGTGCGAAGAAGGAGAAGGTTGTACTGCTGCACCTTCCACATTAGCTGCTGCACTATTGGCGGTACTTCCAGGTTGACTAATATTTGCAGAAGCAGCCCCACGTGCCCCAGTAGAAGGAGGTGCAGCAACAGCAGGTTCGCCAGATGCACTTGGAACCGCAGCAGCAGATTCGCCTTCGTTACCGGAAGACGGCTGTTCATCAGATGATGCTTTCTCTCCTTTTTGGTTGTCTCCACGAGAATCCGCTTCCTTTACTTCTATCTCCGTACCACCTGATGGAAGCTGACCTTCTGGAATTTGTACTCTTTCTTCACCATTCACATGTAGTTCAGTACCGTCTCCCACACTAGTAGTCTGGGGACTAGGACCACCTACCTGACTCACACCTGTAGGACCAGATGGACCACTCTCTCCAGGCCGCTCACGAGGATCAGGTACTTTAATAGGCGATTGAACAGATAAAGAATCGCTTTATCCAGAAACACAAGATCCGTCAGGTTTATCGGAGCTTCGACAAGTACCATGGGAAGAAGTAGGTTCAGAATGAGAGTCGTGCTGTCCTTTCTCACTCTGTTCTTCAGGAATAAGCTTTTTATCTACATCTGCAGCCGCCATATACACACAACCAATACTTACAAGTAAAACCAAAATACACAACACACGACGCATCATCATCATAACGGTCATTGTCACTCTTCTTGTGGATCTCGCCATCACTTGAGTTCACAGGTCTACACAGGGAGTGTAAAATAGAGAAGGAAGAAGAAGGAAGAGACACACATAGTGAGTGGATGCAGTACAACAAATACTCATAGTGAGAGAGCAAAGCAGCAACTGCACAGTAAAGCAAGAAAAAGAAATAGCCCACTTGTATGATAATATGTATCCATTAAATAGAAAAAAAAAATACCCCACCATACCCAAATAAGAGAGAGAGAGAGAGCCAAACACACACACACACAATATCCCATGGCTCTAGTTTATGTATATTAAATTACTCCACACACACATCTGTGTGTACTAGCAAGAGATGTATACCGTCAGTGAGCAGAACAGCCCAGTTTTCTGCAAACACACAACGGAAAAGCAAGTAATGGAATTAATAAGAAAAAGAAAACACACACACACACAAAAGTAAAAGAAAAGATATTCCAATTAAAAGAGAAAGCTGGTAAACAGATTATTAATTTCATTCACCCATGGGGGATATAAGCAAATATGATAATGTTAGTTTAACCATTATTATTATTTTTCTCAAGTGAGTCCCACCTTTCAGCACACAGTAGCGGAGAACAACACAGTCACAATCAGTAGTGGCACACGTACCCACACAGAACTGCTGATACTGCTGCTGCTGTCTGCATCACCCTTCTTGTTGTTTGTGAGTTCAGGAGGAAGTGTTGTTGTTGTGGTGGTGGTGGTGGATGTTTCTGTATTTCCCACATCAGTGCTTTGGGTATTTGTTGACTCAGTTCCTGCAGATGTACTGCCATTCTCAGTAGGTGAAGTGTCAGATCCACTGGTACTCTCTGTGACTGTAGTGTTGGAAGAAGAAGGCTGTTCTGCTGCACCGTCAGCATTCGTTGCATTTTCAACTTCTTTACTGTTATCGGTGCTTTCAGCTTGATCTTCAACTGCAGTCTGACCACCAGTTATCTCACCAGGAGCTGAAGCAGAGAGATCTGCTTCGCCTTGAACAGGTTTCGTACCTTGACTTGCTACCGGAACAGAACTGGGTGAAACAGCATCACCAACTGCAGGAAGAGCACCAGGACCACCAGGACCACTAGCGGCACTACCAGCTCCTGTACCTGCTCCAGCAGCACCAGCAGCGCCAACAGTACCATTAGTACCGCGGTCGCCTTCAGGATTTTCTTTATTTGGTGTAGTTAGAGCCGGTTTCTTTTGTGGTGAACAAGGTTTAGATTCTTGATGGCACTCGCCATCACTTTCGTCACCATTGGTATTGCACCTCTCACTCTCAGAAAGGTCTGCACACTCAGAAGGGGAAGTTTCAGGTGACTTAGGGTCTTTTTCACACTTTGGACCAATACTGCCTGGCTCACGACACGCACCACCATCAGAAGTTTGTAGTTGTTCCTCTCCAGCCACCACACACACACAGGCAACACTCAAAAACAGGGCCGTAAGGTACAGTAGTCGTCGCAGCAACATCATGGAAAAAATAATCACTTGAATCGCTCAACGTAACCAAAACTCAGAAAAAAAAGAACCAAATAAAAAATAAATTATATACATACAAAAACAGAAGGAAAAACAAAGAAAAAAACAAAAAACAAATCTTAGGAAAATCACAAGAGAAGACAACGCGCAAAAAGATTAAAGAGTCCAACAAAGAACACAATGACCAGCACGGAAAAAAGATAATCCCAATTAACCCCTCAAAACCGAAAAAGAACTGAGAGAACGATTATCAGAAGCACCAAGCACAGAAATACAAAACATTTTCACTTTCAGTCGAACCACGTACACAAATATGCATATATGTTTATTCCTTATTATTGTTTTTCCGCACAAAAAACAATCCAACAGCGAAGTGAAGGACAAAGCACACAGCGCCCACAGAAGGAAAAAGAAACAAAATAATTGAGAGAAGCACCAATCACACAAAAATATCACAGAACTCTAGATATGCTGGTGTGTGTATGCATTTAAGAATACATATATATCAATTAATACATTTCTTTTCTCAGCAAAGAAAAACAAAGGGAACCACAAGCAAAAAAACAGATATTAACCATTAGCCCAATTTACCCAGTAAACACGTAGAAACACACCAACTATGGGTGTAAGTCTATATGTGTATATATACGCAATTATAAATATAAATTCATCTGTTATTATTATTTCCTTCTTTTCACTGCAAAAAAAGTTCATCATTATCACAGTGCAAGCCAGGCACACACACAGAGAGAGTCTCCAAGAACACACACACACACACAATGGAGTAGCAATAATAATTATTATAGTATAAACACAGAGAGAGCAAAAACACACACAAAACACATTAACATTAAGAAACAAAAAAAGAAGAGAAATCCCAACAGGTGGAAGATTAGTTAGACTGTAGGGATTGCATGCAAAAAAAAAAACAAAGGATGATCTGAGTCACACCACACAATCATCACACAAGAATACAGGCCAGTGTAACCACAATCAGTAGTGGCACACGCACCCACACAGAACTGCTGATACTGCTGCTGCTGTCTGCATCACCCTTCTTGTTGTTTGTGAGTTCAGGAGGAAGTGTTGTTGTTGTTGTTGTGGTGGTGGTAGTGGATGTATTGTCAGTTTCAGGGTTCGTACTCGCTGAGGTATTCGTCGTTGTCTCTGTAGAATTACCACCATCCGCAGTTCCATCAGTTTGAGAAGATGCAGAAGTAGGAGATGATTGTGCAGCTGTACCTTCTCCACTGGCTGCACTGGTGTTGCCTACACTACTGTCATTGGATGTATCACCAGTTTGTTGAGGTTGCTGTGAAGCTTCTTGATTTGAGTTGTCTTTCACCCCAGGAGTAGCTTCTTCCCTTCGTATTGGATCTTGACTGCTCTCTTGCTGCTGGTGAATTTCTTGACTCCCTCCTGCACCATCCTCTGCACCTGGTACCTCGACCCCCCTCTCGTGTTGAGTAGTAGGTCGATTAGTAGTGACTTCAGCTCCACGCCCCGGTTCACTCGTCTGAGAAGGTAGGACACTACCGCCAGGACCGTGCTGTTGACCACCTCCAGATAGATTATTCTGAACACCGTTGGTGTTAGGCTCTTGAGAAGCACCAGCAGCAGCAACACCTCGTTCAGGTTCCACAGAAGGGGGAGTACAATTACCACCACCAGGAAGGCAGTTGGTAGTTTGGGCAACAGGAGTACCTTGAAGAAGAATCTTTGTCTCACTCTCCGTATCAGGGACTTGGTCGGAAAGATCGGCGGCAGGCACTTCTTCAGCGAGGACGTGCACACGTGCACATGAGAGCAGGAGAGCGAGGATACACAGCACGTAGCGCATCATTATTACCATTGCAATACTTCTTGTAGTAGTCTTACTTCAATCATTTACAGAAAAAAACAAAACAGATAGAAAAACCAGAAACAAAGTGAATCAATGGAAAGAAGAAAATAAAAAAACACACACCAAATCAAACAACACTCAACAATTAAAGCAGAAACACAGACATGAAAAAAAACGTGCAACCATAACTCAGATAGTGCCCAAATAAAAAGAACAACGCATACAATACCCAATAACAAACAGATAACCCCAATAAACCCCTCAAAAGAGAAAGAAATTAAAGAGAACGACCATCAGAAGAGTAAGGCACAGAAATACATCAAAATGCCACTTCCTGTAGGACCAAGCACAACTAAAAATATATTTATGTATTCTTTATCATTTTCTCTCCCCACAAAACACTCTAACATACAACAATGCAGGAGAAAGCACACAGCGCCCAAGCAAAGAAAACGAAAACACAAAGTAAGAACAGGACCAACCGCACAAAAATAACTCACAGACCACTGAGTATGCTGGTGTGTTCAAGTAATCACGAATACAAATTGTAATAACTACTATTTTTTTTCCTTGCTCTTATAAAACTGATTACCAAAAACCGTGAAGGCAAAAGCACACAGTGACCCACGCACACCAATGCAAAGAAAGATATTAATCATTAGCCCAATTTACCCAAGTAAACACAAGAAATAGACCAACTATGGGTGTAACTCTATATGTGTGTATATAGGCAATTATAAGTAATAAATTCATCTGTTATTATTATTTCTTTTCTTTTCACTGCAAAAAAACAGTTCATCATCACAGTGCAATCCCAAGCACACACAGTGAGTGTCCAATAAAACACACAATACCCCATGGCTCTAGTTTAAGTATTAAATTACTGCACACACACATCTGTGTGTACTAGCAAGAAATGTATACCGTCAGTGAGCAGAACAGCCCAGTTTTCTGCAAACACACACAACGGGAAAAGCAAGTAATGGAATTATTAGAAAAAGGACACACACACAAAAGTAAAAGAAAAGAAATTCCAATTAAAAGATAAAGCTGATAAACAGATTATTAATTTCATTTACCCATGGGGGATGTACGCAATTATAATTATGTTAGTTTAACCATTATTATTATTATTTGTCCTCAGATGAGTCCCACCGTTCAACACACGGTAACGGAGAACAACACAGCCACAATCAGCAGCGGTGCAGCAGTGCATATCCACACAGGACTGACACTGCTGTCAACATTAGCCTTGTTCTGTACTGTGGGGGCGATGTTGCTGATCTGTGGGTCGGGTACAGGAGATGGAGTGTTGGTCAGTGCTTCTGTGGTGGTGTTCTCGGTGCTCTGAGGAGTAGTGGTATTTGTTTCTGTTGAGTTTGGTGCGGCAGTCACATCATCAGTTGCAGTAGATTGCGTGGTAAGATTAGAGTCACGAGAAGGAGTCGCGGTTGATACTTCACTGACAGTATTCTCGGTGCTCGGCGGAGTAGTAGTATTTGTTTCTTCTGAACTTGTTGTGGTATTTTCAGACTGTGTTTGTGGGTTTGTTTGTTTGGTATCAACCCCTTCAGTTGAGTGTTCCCGTGTTGGTGGATTTTCAGTTCTTTCTGATTCAGTTGAACCTTCTGGTGTACTGTGTGACTCTGCAGCTTTTGTAGGTAAAGGATCTGTAGCTGTAGTTACAACAGGAGTTGACTCTGGCTCACCTACAGCAGGAACTGATGGGCGGGCCACCTCACTGTCTTCTTGAACCAGGTTTTCATTCTCCCGTGTGTCCTTCGTCTGTTGAAGTGAACGTTCATGATCCTTTGACTCCCGTCTTTCTTGTTCTTGTTGTTCAGTTAGCCTTCCTGCCATTTCTTCCTTTTCAGCTAGTTCTTGTTGTTTTTGCTTTAGCTGTTCAGCCTGCTTTTCCTTTTCACGCATTTCCTTTTGAGTTAACTCTTTATCTAGTTTTACTGCCTCTTCGGTAGTAAGACGTGTATGGTCGTTATTCTTACTCTTCTTGTGCTCTTCGATCTGCTGCCACCGTTTAGGAGTAAATTCAGGGACATCAACCCTGGTACTACCCATATAAGCCATCACCGCCTTTAGCTGTCCATTAGTAGTAGTATCAATGGTTGTTGTTGTTCTTGCTGCTCTTGCGGTACGCTGGCGGCAGAGGTCTGCGTACTTCCCACATGCAGACACACGGCTGCCCGCACCGCATGTAAGCCACTCGCTCTCAGCAGCGGGGCGTACACGCAGCGCACCGCCGGCCGCACACGACACCTCCACAGCCCCACGGGATACACCACGGCCACTGGGACTGTCATTATCAACAGCAGCAGCAGCCGTCATGGTATACCCGCAGGCGCAGCACAGCACAACGGCCAACACACACATCACACGGCCCATCATCATCATCATGAGATAGACAAGGGTTTGTTTCACGTAAAAACACTGATCTAGAAATAAAGACAACCAAAAAGTAAAAAAAAAATAACTGAAGTATCAAACATGTTAGGACACACAAATCGATTACCACTATGGAAACTCACATCAAGAAAAGAAAAAACCCACCAGTTAAAGAAGGCAATACACCGCAATAACCTCATTACCAGTAAAACAAAAAAACACCCACACTCACAAATATCTCAAAAAGGCTAAACCACCCAGCAAACCACAAGCAAACAAACAGATATTAATCATTGGCCCAATTTACACAGTAAACACAGAAATATACACTTACTACGGATGTAAGTCTATATGTGTATATATACGCAATTATAAATATAAATTCATCTGTTATTATTATTTATTTTTCCCACCATAAAAAGCAATTCATCATCATTATCACAGTGCAAGCCCAGGTACACACACAGAGAGAGTCTCCAAGAATACACACACACAATGGAGTACTAGCAATAATAATAATTATAGGATCAACATAGAGAGCAAACACACACAAAACACATTAACATTAAGAAACAAAAAAGAGAGAAAATCCCAACATATGGAAGATTAGTTAGACTGTAGGGATACATTGCAAAAAAGAAAAGAAAACAAAGGATGACCTGAGTCACACCACACCACCACATTACAATCAGCACACAAGAATACAGGACAGTGTAACCACAATCAGTAGTGGTACACGCACCCACACAGAATTGCTGATACTGCTGCTGCTGTCTGCATCAACCTTCTTGTTGTTTGCAGTCTCAGGAGGAAGTGTTGTTGTTGTTGTGGTGGTGGTGGTGGTTGAATCAGCATTGACGTTCTCTTGTGAACCTTCTGTGCCAGTCGTACCTGTAGCTGCAGCAGTCTGATTACTGGTATTGCTGTCACCACCTTCAATTGCATTTTCCGATTGAGTTTGTGGGTTGGTGGTGTTGGAGCCCCCGTCTCCAGAAGAGGTTGTGTCTGCAGTTGGTTCTGTTTCCTGTCCTTCTGTTGCGGTTTTCTGTGGTTCCTGTAAGTCTTCATTACCTGCTGTGGTAGGCGTATTCCCTCGGCCTTCACTTTCTGCTGGTACACTGCCATTATCTGTGTCCCCACGATTATGACCTTGTTGTCCTTGCTGTTGTAGTACTGGTGATTGTTGTGACGCTGTTTCTACTGCTGGTTGTTGTCCAGAAGAAGAAACAGCAGAAGGTGCACCCAATTCTCCATTTCGACCGGCACCACCAGGTTCACCTTGACTTCCTCCCCTTGGTTCAGAACCAACAACACCGGGGACAGGTGTACCTTGAAGAAGAATCTTTGTCTCACTCTCCGTATCAGGGACTTGGTCGGAAAGATCGGCGGCAGGCACTTCTTCAGCGAGGACGTGCACACACGCACATGAGAGCAGGAGAGCGAGGATACACAGCACGTGGCGCATCATTATTACCATTACAAACCTTCTTGCAGTAGTCTTACTTCAATCGCTTACAGAAAAAGAAACCCAATAATAAAAAAAACAGAAACAAAGTGAATCAATGTTAAACAACAAAAAATGAGAACACACTACCAAATCAAACAACACTCAACAATTAAAGCAGAAGCACACACATAAAAAAAAACGTGCAACCATAACTCAGATAATCGCCCAAATAAAAGGAACAAAACACACAGTACCCAATAACAAACAGTTAATACCAATTAACCCCTCAAAAGAAAAAAAAGAAATTAAAGAGAACGACCATAAGAAGAAAGCAGAGCAATAAAATCAAAATGCCTCTTCCTGTAGGACCTAGAACAATTACAAATATACTTATGTATTCTTTATTATTTTTTCTCCACACAAAATACTCTAAAACACAACAATGCAGGAGAAAGCACAGAGTGGCCAAGCAAAGAAAAGGTGAACAAAAACACAAATTAAGAACAGGACGAATCACACAAAAATAACTCACAGACCACTGAGTATGCTGGTTTGTTCAAGTAATTACAAATAAAAATTGTATTAACCACTATTTGTTCCTTTGCTCTTATAAAACTGATTACCAAAAACCGTGCAGGACAAAAGCACAGAATGACCCAGCAAACCATAAGCAAAGAAAGAAATATTAACCATTAGCCCAATGTACACAGTAAACACATAGAAATACACCAACTATGGCTGTAAGTCTATATGTGTGTATGTATAAGCAATTATAAATAATAAATTCATCTGTTATTATTCTTTTCTTTTCACTGCACAAAAGCAGTTCATCATCACAGTGCAAGCCCAGGCACACAGAGAGAGAGTGTCCAAGAACACACACAATACTCCATGGCTCTAGTTTATGTATATTAAATTACTGCACACACACATCTGTGTGTACTAGCAAGAAATGTATACCGTCAGTGAGCAGAACAGCCCAGTTTTCTGCAAACACACACAACGGGAAAAGCAAATAATGGAATTAATTAGAAAAAGAACACACACACATAGAAGTAAAAGAAAAGATATTCAAATTAAAAGATGATACTGGTAAACAGATTATTAGTTTATTCACCCATGGGGGATGTACGCAATTGTGATAATGTTAGTATAACCATTATTATTATTCGACCTCAGATGAGTCCCACCGTTCAGTACACAGTAGCGGAGAACAACACAGCCACAATCAGCAGCGGTGCTGCAGTGCGCATCCACACAGGACTGACACTGCTGTCAACATTAGCCTTCTTCTGTACAGTGGAGGCAATAGTGTTGATCTCTGCGTTTGGTACTGAAGGAATTGATGTTGTGGTTGGTGCTTCGACACTGTTATCGGTGTTAGGCGGAGTAGTGGTATTTGTTTCTTCTGAGCCTGTTGTGGCAGTTGCATTCGTTGCTGCAGTATTCTCAGTCGCTGGTGAAGGATTCTGTGAAGCATTACCAGGATTAACATTACTGTTATCTGGGGGTGTTTCAGAGTCACTTTGTGTTTCGGTTTGATTGGAATTAACACGTTCAGGTGATTGTGCTTCCGTAGTTGGTGCTGTCGTCTCTGGTTTCGTGGGACCATCTTGTGTACTCGGTTGTCCTGCACCACTTGATGATGAAGATATGCTGTCTCTAGCTGGAACTTCTCGGTGTTGGGTATCTGAAGAAACAGCACCATCTTCACGAACCCCAGTTCGATCCGTCTGAACTTGTCCTTGGACTCCACCCTGACCTCCTTTCGCAGCAGAACCACGTGGGATAAGAGAGCTTTCCAAAGGACATCGCTCATGTGCACCATAGAGTGCAGTAAAGATTCGTGCTTCACCACCTTCAGTACCAGCAGTAGTGGTTTCAGGAGTACGACAAGGCCTCTCAGATGTACCAGTACCACCTGGTTCAGCTACCAGACCAGGCTGACCGTTAGCTTCCATGCAGACAGAGGCAACACTCAACAGAAAAACCAGCAAACACACAACGGATCGCATCATCATGGAAAGAGTAATTCTTGGTTGTTTTACGTTACTTAGTTAGAGAAAAAGGGAACAGAGAGAAAAAGTAAAAAGTATCCCATAAAATAAAAACGAAAATAGATGGTGGTAAAACAGAAACAAAAGTATACATAAAACAACACTACCAGTATAAACATTAAAGAATCCAATACAGAGACACCACAAAAAGAAACCCGAACAAAACAAGACGTAATGAAACAAAATTAAAAGCACAACGCAATGCCCAACAAACATACAATTTACACAGAAGACTGGGTGTGCTGGTGATTGTAAGAAATAATGAAATTATGTTTAACAATTACTGTTTTTTTTTTCTCTATTCAAACTAGATAATCATAACAACACAGTACAAAGCACATATAGAACGAAGAAAAAAAATAGCAAAATCACATGAAAACAAAAAGAAATTAACAATTAAAAACAACATACCCAGTAAACATTGAAATACACCAACTATGGGTGTAAGTCTATATGTGTGTATATAAGCAATTATAAATATAAATCCATCTGTTATTATTATTATTATCATTTGTTTTTCTTCACAATGCAAAAAGCATTTCATCATCATTACAGTGCAAAGCACACAGGCACAGAGAGAGTCTCTAAGAACACACACAATACCCCACGGCTCTAGTTTATATGTATTAAATTAATGCACACACACATCTGTGTGTACTAGCAAGACATGTATACCGTCAGTGAGCAGAACAGCCCAGTTTTCTGCACACACACACACAACGGGAAAAGCAAGTAATGGAATTATTAGAAAATAACACATACGGATAAAAGTAAAAAATAAAATAAAATAACCTCAAGAGTATCAGAAAAGAGAAAAATAATGGATAAGATAAATAAGTTTTTATTTTTTCTTTCCTCATCCATAAAAAGGAGTAGTACAACCTTTTCATTTTCATGTTGTGGCTTCGGGCCATTTCCTCTTAACGAAAAATTGTCTCCAATGTCTTTCTGAAAATATGGGTAATACAAACCCCCTTTTTTCTTTTCTTTCTTTGATTTTTTATTCTCCATCTCTGCCTTCACTAGTATATTTCGCATCCTTCTCATTCTTCTTTTCTTTTCTTTTTTCCTTTTCAACCTATTGGACTTCCCCAATATCACATTCACGCAAACCTCTATCCAGCTCTCCTTTTTCTTTTTCTTCTTTCCATTCAACCTATTCCCAATTCCCCTAATATGGCCCACTAGTCTTGTACTTTCCTTGTTTCTCAACATCATGAAAGTCCCACCGTGTTGGCTTTCGGAAATCGTGTCGGGT